ATGAATAAACGTATTGATAATCTCCAAGGTTGGAAAAATTACTTTGTGAAAGTATCTAGTTACAGTAACAGTCTCTCACTAAAAAAGTAACTAGCTACAGTTACAAGTCATTGACCTTCAAAAATAACATGTTACAGTTATAGTTATTTAGAGAGTTATTTAGAGAACGGGTCGTCAATTTTCAGTTACTTTTTTACAATAATTGTGCTATTATTTTAAATTTCGTAATTATGTAAATTCCTACAATTTTATATAAAAGTAGTTTGTTGATTATTATATTTCTCATATTGTATATAATTTTTACAAATTAGATCCATTAATTTAAATAAGCAATTCATATTTATTCTTTAAGACTACTAATAACGATTATAAGGAAGTATATTATTATATTTCTCATATTGTATATAATTTTTACAAATTAGATCCATTAATTTAAATAAGCAATTCATATTTATTCTTTAAGACTACTAATAACGATTATAAGGAAGTATACTAATAACGATTATTTTAAATTTCATAATTGTGTAAATTTTTTCAATTTTATGTAAAAGTAGTTTGTTAATTATTATATTCCTCATATTGTATATAATTGTTACAAATTAGATTCATTAATTTAAATAAGCAATTCATATTTATTCTTTAAGACTATTAATAATGATTATATGAAAGTGAATGAATTTGATGAGGATAATAAATGCTAAAAATACTAAAAATAATCTTAACATCAAAAATTAGATTTTTTACTAAAAAATATATTGATATTTTATAAATAAAGACTTACACTTATGTGTTTTCTTAAATTTGCAGTCGAAGTTCTACTTGCATGAATAATTTTTTTGCCAGCGCAAATTTTGCAGAAATGTCCAGCTGTTTTCGTTTCCAAGCTTTTACTGTAACTCGAATATCTCTGTATATGTTGGTCATAGCATTTTACAATCCTTCTCCGAAGATTGAGATGTTTTATCCATTGCTTGAATTTTTTATGTAACAACAGAAACTACGCAGCGCACTTCACGCTGAACGCAGGTTAGGTCAACAAATAAGGATTGGCGATACGCGACGAAAATGTCCAATAAACGTACAATTTTATTGATTCTTGTTTTATATCTAATGATAAAAATAAATGACGCAGTACGTTTTCCAAATGCAGCCAGAATAGCTGTATTAAATTTATTGGATATCAAGCATCGCACGTCGCGTTATCGTGCTGATCTGCCAGAAACTTAAGTTTGAAATAAATAAAGTAATTTAAGCACTTAAGCTTATAATTAAAGTAATTATTAAATTAGTTGCTAGTTATCAAACAAATGTAACTAAGTTAAGTTATAGTTATAGATGGGAAGAAGGAACAATGTTAAGTTATAATTATCAAAAAAAGAACAACTGTATTTGTACAAGTAACGAGTTACTTCCCAACCCTGCTGATAATCTCACAAACGTTTTGATACCCTCGCATGTTCGTTTTTACTTCATTTTTTCTGTTGCAAAATAAATATGAAAGTTCAATGGTGGAAAGAACCTGCGAGTCACTGGTTTAGAAAATTTTAATTATAAAACTCTCGAAAGAAAGTTGCTTCGTAATGACACGGGGTTTTGATTTAGAACTTTAATTGTAAGGTTTGAATCTGCAAGGAAAATTATATATCGCGATCATGTGGAGTCGTGTATCAATGACCTTGCACGATCAAAAAGGAATACTCTACAACAGGAGAATCCGAGATAAAATTGTCGAATGCCCTTCGCTCTTTCGCTGCGCTCTTTTGTGCGCCAAATGCGTTTCGGATACAGGTGAAACCCTATTTCCGTTGTTGACTGTAAGGCGAACAAGGTTAATCACGATTTTCCTGTATGTTTTAACACGCGCCTGACGCGCTTTATGATGGAAATCGCTCAATAGAATAGACCAAATCATGCATCGTATTAGGGGCAGCCGTGCCTATGCTTGATTACAGCGAATGTCAGCGGCTGCCGAGCAGAATAAGATAAATGGTGTTTCTTCGCGTGAAATTGACATCGAAGCTCTGGTTTGTTGAGCTCGTGTCCACTTCTCAGAAACGGATGTACACTCCACGAAGTTAGGGTTCATATTTTACGCATTGCACGCGCGGACCCGAAAGAGAGTTCTCGATTGAAGAATTTATTTTTCGTATAGATTTTTGCATTTATCGCCATTTGACCGAATGGGCGGAGGATCTCGAACTATTATTGCACAGCTTAGGGCCACAAAAGGATCCAGTCCGCCACTGCCGTTAGATGTTACGGCTTTATGGTCGAGGCGCGGCTACAGAAATAGCACGTGACTCAATATTTAGGCAGCGCCGATTTGGTAAAGCACGTTCTCTCGTCACGAAGCCGTCTCGTAGGAAGGCACGACGGTATTATCAACAAGAAATCCATTATCGACACCAACACATGCGCCGCATAGTAGCTGCTGAACGGCGAAGATATATCATGATAAGGCGTATGGGTTACACTAACAAAAGAGAAACTGAGAAACTCTAACTTGCAAAAAGTTTCTAATTTATAGCGTATGATGCAACGCCGTTTCAAAAGAAACCATAAATCAATTAGAAAAGAAACAAACCTTTCAACGATAAACCAACTTCTTAAAAGTTTACTAATATCTTCACAAAAAGATTTACTCAATGTTAAATACAAAAAAGAAAAATATAAAATAATTATGATCTTTTATGATTAATTATACAAAGTAATAACCATTTAAATAAATCAATTCTTATATAAAAAGTTTTATTTTTTTTCACATTATAGCCTCTTCCAGTAAGCTGTAAAATAATGACAGATGTGAGAGATTATTTTTTTTATCGTTATTCTTCGAATTTTTAAATATTAGCGAAATTGTCTTTCTATTTAGAGAAGATGCAAAAATGACACTGAAAAATAACATTGATATATACCCAAGAAAGTAATTTTAGAACAAACGGAATCGTCTAAATTTTAAAGGATTTTATTCTTATATGATATATGGCCTCAAGAGAATTCCTCTAAGATTAAGAGGAAAATATTATAAACACATTATTCTTAAAGTTAGAGGGATTATATGTTAAATATATAATGCAAATCTTATTGATTTTAATATAAATTTCCTCTTATACACAGATTATTTAATCTTTTTTTAAGAGGATTATTATTTATTCTTACTGTATTTTATTCTTACTAGTTTGGTATTAGTTAATTTTTTTCTGCTAGTTAATTTGACAACTTTTATCTGGAACATTTTTTTATTTGCCTAATATTTTTTGAGATATTTAAGAGAAACTTGGTAACTTTTTCAATATTTAACCTACAATATCTCGCTAACTATTTGTCGGAAGAAAAAACAGTACTAGACTTTTTTACTCTATTTGGTCTTAAGAATATATTGTTACAATAGCACCCTGATTTTTGTTAATTTGATGATTTTGAAATTTCCAAAGATCGATAAGTTAATAAAAGTTAGGATACTATTGTAACAATATATTCTTGAGACCAAATAGAGTAAAAAGGTCTAGTACTGTTTTTTCTTCCGACAAATAGTTATTAGCGAGATATCGTAGGTTAAATATTGAAAAAGTTACCAAATTTCTTTTAAATATCTCAAAAAATATTAGGCTATATTTGACCAAATATGAGTAAATTCTCCTCGTTATATGTTACAGCAACACACATACCTTTTTTACAAAGCGTTCCAAATATCCTGACCCATGAGCATATGGTTATTTTTCCGTTCATGTCTGGAAGTAGAAAATGACTGAACAAAAGAAGCCGACATTCAAATCAACATATTCTTCTTCATATAAGAGGAAATTGTCTTGAAATAAGAGGAAAACAGTTAAAATAATATCTAATAAATTTTAGATGAATGGTTCACTTTAATCACTTTATCGAAAGAGGAATCCTTTTCCTGCAAAACGTTTCATTTAGAATATGAGACTATGGGAAAAATCACTTTACAAACAGAATACTTTTTTGGATGTAAAAAATTATTTTAATGCATCTAATCTCTCGGCATTTTTTATCTGTACATTATTAGTGCGAGGTAGCGTAATGTTATATCAAGAGAAATGATAAATGCAATTCACAGTTTTAAATATAAATTTATTGAAGTCTTAAGTGCTTGTTATTGTAATTTTATAATAGTATCTGTGTAATGTGCTACAGATTTAGTGGTATCGTTTTGTTCCTTTATAAATTATTTTACATTCAGTCACGAGACAGACGCATATGCCGTTGCACGAAATTATGTCACATAATTTCTATACAGGATACACGTCGTAATAATCCGCGCGACTTTTGGGGCACTTGCGGTGAGAAAAGATGAAACCGAATTATAATAAAAGCTTTCACTTGAACGCAATTTTATTAATTTTCAATAGAACTTTTCTAAAGGAAAAACAAACGTTTCGACATTTTCTCTCTTTCTTTTTTCTTCTTATTATATTTATCCGTGTTATATTATCCGTTATTCAAAACTGATACAAAGGTTTGTTTGTAACTTTTCCGTTGTCGCGTTATTGCTAGTGCTCCGAAAATCGTGAGCACGATTACGATGTACCCTGCATATGTAGTTTTATGCAATACATATAACATTTATATTCTCGTTAGAACACGTGTAAGAAATACGACTGCGCGGGTTGCTCTTTCATCGGTTCTATTCGACGCACTCCCGATCCAATCGGCACGACTACGCTCGTTCTCTGGTATCGTTCACGGCAAACGCAAAGCAAACCCAATCGCCTAAACTGCTAACTTTGTACTCTGCTTCCGCGCTATTTTCATAATCGAGATATTATTTGGTATTTCAATGTGTTTATTAGCACGTTATGACATGTTCGATCTAAGGCGATCGTTGAAGTGTGAACGATTTGGTTTGATCGAACGAATGAAACTAAACATTTTACTTTATGCGTCAAAAGTGGGAATGACTTTGTATTTTTTTTCTTCTATCTCTCAAATGATCGCAAAGTAAAACGTAACGTCGAATCTACTATAGTACATCATCATCGAGACGCGTTGCGGTTATTTTATGAAGAAACTCGACTCTCCTCGAAGTTACCGATATTAACAAGAAACATGTTAACGCTACTGACTACTATACTCCTGATAATAATGTAAATTAACTATAACATATAATTATTGAAGTAGTAAATATAAGTGTATCGAGATGCTTTCCAAGTACCGGCAGTAAGAAAACGATTAGAGAATAGCGTAATAATTTAAATTTGAACGCGGCTCAGACAAGATCGTCAAACTCAATGCTGACATAGGCGGTGGACACGTTCGATACAATGGCAGAGACAAAAGTTCAACGACAATTGCAAATGCGATGAAACTTATGTCTTTGTTATTGTTACATTACGTTATATGTTGTCATTTCTTCTGAGAACGTAACGAATAAAATATGCGTCGAATATATATATGATGGTACAGCGTTGTTTATGTTCGATTAAAGTGAGCGGTTTAGCAGCTGACATAAAAAGAAACGAATTCCATGCAATGATAAAACATATTTTTTTCTTTAAAAGTGAACAGCAGTGCAGATCAAAGCCGAGTTAGACAAAGTCCATAGCGACTTGGGGCTCCATAGACTTTGCTCCCGCGTTGAAAGCCGCATATTTCTGGATAAGCGAATTTAAACATGGTCGAACCTGCCATGGACGTACAGTTGAAGTCATCATGTCGAATATCGTGAGAAAAATCCATGGTTACGAAGAATTGACAAGTAAAGATGCGTGAGATTGCTCAGGGCGTAGGCATCTTGATGGAACGAGTGCATGACATCTTACATGGAAAATTGCATGTGAAAAAACTGTGCACGATTGCTGACTCTTAACCTAAAACGCACGCAAGAAAACGTTTCAACGCAGTATTTGATGAAATTTGAGCGCAACCCGTAGGATTTTTGGTGCCAATTCGTGACGAAATTTAGATTCATTGCTACACTTTTGAGTCGAAGAATCAGTCAAAGCAGTGAACTTGGAAAAGTACTCTTTTGCATGCCAATCTTGACGTTTATTTTTCAGCTCTTCTTTCAAGCGATTCGATAATGTTGCACAGTACTCTCTTATTGTCATCCTACCGCACGTATTACCATCCTTTCGTAAGTAATCAATCAGGATAATTCCTTGGGAATCTAAAAAAACAATGGCTATCATCTTTCCAGCCGACAAAAAGTCTTCGTCTTCTTCGACACATCTTTACCAGACATTGTTCATTGCTCTGATTGCTTCTTCAACTCAGAAGCGATTCGTCCACACTCATGAATCGACACAAAAAATCCTGCACATTGCGTTTAACATCGTCAAATCCTACGTTGAAATGTTCTTTCGCATATGTTTTTGAAATAGAGTCAGCAATCGTGCACACATCTTCACTCGCCAATCTTCCATAACCATACTATGGGTTTTTTCCATGATATCCGAAGTTGGTGACCTCAACTGAACGTCTGGAGCGCGTTTCGTCTTCAGTGCAGTTTCGACTATATTTAAATTCACTTATCCAGAAATATACGGTTTTCAATGCAGGAGCAGAGTCCCCACGCACTTTATTTAACTTGGCTTTGATCTATGCTGTTGTCCACTTTTTTAAATAAATGTTTCATTATTGCACAGAATCCGTTTTTTTTTCTATTTTTGCGGCAATCATTAAACCGCTTCAAACGATTACCAGACGTAAACATGTTACTTTTGACCGATTTCTGGCAAATTTTACCTCGAGGGATCTGAAGAATGGAATTTCCAGGTCACCAAATATATTATAGCGCCATCTTATAGAAGTTTACTAAACTTATCAAACTGCTCTCCAATACATACATATTTTACCGTTCATCACGTTCTCACGAAAAATGATTGTGTGTGTGTGTGTGTGTGTTTAGACGTCACATAGCGTAAGTCGTTTGATCGCATTCGTCGTTATGTGATACAACGTCGAGTAGATGAAATTAGAAAAATAGTCTATTTCGCGGTCGCTGCCGTCTCTCATTAATACATCGAACAAATTCTCTGTAGTGGTCGATCGATAAGAGAATATCATGTAACATTTGTAGTTTTCTGCGAATACCAATTGAAATAATATTAAAAAATACCCAATCATATATTCGATTTTTCCTTATCAAAAGATATTAATCGCAAAAGCTTGGTAAACTATGGGACTTCGTCCCCGTTTATTTTCATTTCTGTAACAAAGCAACAAGATTTTCCGACATATCGGTAATATCATTTACCATACGTCCATTCGTCAACCCTCTGGAATTAACGTACACTATTTCATATATGGATATAAAGCGCGATTCACCTTTCCGTCGTCGTTCAAGAAATTCGTCGTTAATGATGAATGATTTTCCACTTGCCACCGAGTGCCGCAATCGCGCAGTTCTCGACACCTGAATGTACACCGTGTCGTGAGAAAATATTGAATTTCCTCAACCACTGTAGACAAAAGGAATACATCGAGCGACACGCTGCAGATGTCGATCTAACAATTAACCTTATGATAAAATCCTACGCTTTCTATGTACACCATCAACACGAAGTGTGTCCCGTGAAATTCATGAGGGAATACCGTCTTCGACACGAAGAACGCAAACTCATATCACGTAAGAATGTTCAATGAGAAAATACTGTCTTCTTCGCGCGCAAAAAGACGCCCACCATCCATACGGTGTTTATACAGCGCGCTCTGCTCGTGCGTTGGCGAGAAATGTAAGACCATGTAAGACTGATGTGTTCACTCCAGGGAACGCAGATTCTCGAAGGACCACACTTCGCTTCGCAAGGAACCTATGAATAGCGCAATCCAATGGATCCAACCGGACCTCATCAGCCGAGTCCTTTGGGGAGTTCATCAGCATCGGTGGTCTTCTCCGCATAATTCGCACGACCGAGCGGCAAAACTCACGTTAGTTTCATGTATATGGTGCGCTCCCTCATCTTGCAGTGCTTGAGTTCTCTGAGAGCTCGCTGCGCTTCGCTGGGAGACGCAAAAGCCACCCGCGCGTCGCCCGTCGGCATGCCCCTGTCGTTGTACCGGCGGATTACGTCGTCCCGCTTCACGTCGAAGTCGCCGAAGAAGTCGATGATCTCGTTGACGTCTGCCTTGAACGGCACGTTCTCCAGCGAGAGCACGCAACCGGGCTTGCCAAAACCTTCGACGCAATCCATGGGCGGTGGGTGACGGCCCATCATGTGCCGTGGCATGCCCATCATTCCGGGTGGACACCTGGGCCCGAAACCGGAGTTGCCGAAGCGCGGCGGCATGTGGCCTATCGGGCCAGTGAAGCGCGGTCTTTGCTCTTGCAGAGGCGGAAAGTGCTGTTGCTGAGCCTCCATCATCTGTTGAGGATCCACCATGCCGAGGGTCTCGAGCATCTTGGCGCGCGGTACCAGCTCCATAGTAGGCACATTCTTACCGAACGGCAGGCCGTTTTTGGCGGTGGCGCGTAGCGCTTCGTCAGTCGTGTCGAACTCGCAGAAACATTCGCCAGCCGGCTTGCCGTTCTGGTTGAGCATCATGTGGATACGGTGCGGCACGATGCCGATGTCAGAGAAAAAGTCCAAGATGTCGCGGTCAATCGTCTGGAAAGGTAAACCACGCATAATGATGCAGTCTGATGAAGTGGTCTGGTTCATGCTCGCCTGTTCGTGCTCGCGCTTCGCTTGCGAGAACGCGTCCTCGCTGATGGCGGTCGCGGTCACCGGCTTATTTCCTATTTTGAGCGACGCGGTGATCGACGACTTGGCGTCTTCCAGCCGCGCAAACTGCACGTAAGCCATGTACTGAGTCGTGCCGCCCTCCTTGCTGTTGGTGATGAAGAGATCGTTGATCTTCCAGTCGTGGAATAGCTTGGCTATGTCCATCTCCTTGGTGAAAGAGGGCAGGTCGGTCAACAAGATGCACGTGGAGTTTCTCAAGTCGCTCTCGGCATTCTCCTCCGACCTTTCTTTGTCAGGTGAATAGGAATTCACGGTCTTGTCGAAGATGCTCTCGTCCAAGTGCAGGACCTCCACCTCGGAGCCTCGCACGTATCTCGTCGTGCTGAGCGCAAGCTCCTTGCCTTCGGCCTTGCCGAACTTGACGTACGCGATACCGACGCGATTACCGTGGTTGTCATTGATTATCTTCATGCCATCTTTGCGAATGTAGATACCTTGAAAAGCGTGACGCAAGTCCGAATAAGTCGCGTTCAACGGCATATTACGAATTTCGACACAATGGCCGTTACTGCTGCCGCTGCTGCCGCTGCTCTTGTTGTCGTTGGAAAATCGAGAGTTGCCGGACTTCCTGCCGGACGACTGGCGCTCATTCTCGAAGTTCCCGTAGCTGGTAGAGCCGGCCTGGAATGCATGCGGATTACGACGGCCTTCGAGCTCTTGAACCTTGTTCAAGAAGGGATTATTCGGCCTGACGCCACGGTAATTTCCGTTGGCGCCGTACTCTTGGCTATTAAACTGATTCGACCTGCCGGGGAATCGCGTCTGTTCCAGTCTGTTCTGTTCGTTTTGCTGGTTCCAGGGTTCCTTGGGGCGCGTCAGATTTCCCAGACTGGGTAGACTGCTGCTGTTCAAGTTTTGCGACAGCGGCGTTATGCCTACCGTGTGGCTGAGAGACTGCACGTGCGGCTGCATCAGGTTATTCACACCGTTGAGGCCGTTGATGGAGAACTGGCTCGACTGCAACATCGGCTGCTGGCTTATCACCGGTGTGCCGAAGCCTATAGATCGCTGCTCCGAGTCCTGAGACAAAGCCGCAACTCCGGCACCAAGAATACCCGGCGCCAACAGAGCCGCTTGCATCTGCGTCTGCGGCGGCACTTCCCATATGCCGTTCTCCATCGGCTTCTTCGCCCCCGCTGCTGGCTTGTCCTTTTGAAACTGGCCGACGCACACGACGTCGTTGTTGTCGTCTTCATTATTGGCGTCTTTGCGCCGATCACCCGTCGAGTTTCTCTTCGAGTCGCGGTCGCGCGACCTCGTGCGATCTCGCGACCTGGAACGGTCTCGGCGACGTCGTCGGTCCCTCCTGTCCCGCTCTCGGTCACGAGACCTACTACGGTCCCGTCTCCGTCGATCCCTCCCGCGATCACGATCGCGCCGATCTCTGTCCCTGTCGCGGTCGCGCGATCGTGATCGATCTCGCGATCTCGAGCGGTCACGCCGCTCTTTTCGCTCTTTGTTGGACTCGTTCTCATTCTCCTTGTCCCTCCTCTCATTCGGTGAGCCCGGTTTCGCCTGAACCACCGGCGGCACTGCCACTGGCGTCTGCATGAAAGTCTGTAGATTCAGGGTTTGTTGTCGGGCAGCTTCGATTACCTTTTGCATCTCTGTGCGAGAACTTAACAGCAGTTTTATCTTCATTTCCTTGATCTTACCACCGTCGTGCATCATCGCCTGCCGGGCATCTTCATCGGTGCTGCAATAGTGAAATGATGGTTGTTTACACGAGAGATTCGCACGACGCCTCGCGATCCGTTCTATATATTTTATTGATCCGAACGCACTTGCTAAGAACGTAAATTTGAGACGCCTCTTTGTGTTGTGAAGAAACATATTTGAAAGGATTATGCGGCATCGAAGTGGACGGCAAGATAAGAGGGGAGCAAGTGTCCTCCGGTTTTCGAGATATCGCCTCAGGATGTTTAAATTTTCATCGACTTCACGTGTAATATATAATTTATATATCAAAATTTATATCATTTAGAATTAATTGAAACTTGGTCTTTTTTAATATTAAATATTTTTTTGTAATAGTCATAATTATATAACATGAACGGACAATATATCTTTTGCGAAAGATAATTTTATACTTTATTACTAAATTATTAGAAGGTTGAATTGGTTCTGCTCCCTAGCAATAGATAGTTTTAGTACCAAGTTAATGATTAGTATGAATATTAAAATCCAGCAACACTGAAAGATTTGACATTTCTCTATGACATATGACAGTTTACGCGCTGTTGTTACTGATAGTCTTATTATTTATACGCGTTTAAAATTATACGCATACAAAATTGCACTTCAACATTTATTACTTTTTTGTTTGATTTGAAAAAATCAAACTGAAGCTCATGAAATGCTTGTTACAACATATGGTGATCAAGTCCCATTGTATTCCAACTGTACATTTTGATTTCAACGATTCAAAAGTATTGGTCAATCAAAAAAATTCGAAGATTCTGAATTGTAAGCATTATTGAATGAAAACACCGTTCAAACGGAAAAAAAGCAATTGGCTGAACAACTCAACGTCGATAAATCAACAATTTCTAAACGCCTACATGCTATGGGAAAGATTCAAAAGGAAGGAAAACGGGTTCCACAGAATTGAGTGAAAGTGCCATTGCAAATAGTTTGGATATCATCATGTCTGCTTGCCAGACAGAAAAAAAGTTTCTTGTGGCAAGTTGTAATTGGAGATGAAAAGTGGATTTATTTTGATAATCCAAAGCGAAAAAAATCATGGGTTGATTCAGGACAACTATCAACATTGATACCAAAACGGAATATTTACGGTCACAAAATAATGCTCTGTACTTGATGGGATATGAAAGGTGTGGTGCACTTTGAGCTTCTAAAACCGAATGAAACAGTTATGGGGGGGCGATACTAGCAGCAATCGAACAAATTGAATGAATGGATTGATACAATTTGATCTAATTTGATGAATTGATGCAAAAAAGGCTAGCGATAGCCAGCAATAGATGTAAAATGATTCTTCTGCACGATAATGTTCGTCTACATGTGGCTTCAATCGTTAAACAAACATTGTTAGAGCTCGAATGGGAAATCCTTCCGCACCCAGCGTATTCTACAGATCCAGCACCATCTGATTATCATCTATTCCGATCAATGCAACACGCTTTGGCAGATAGACATTTCAATAATTACGAGAATGTGCAAAAATGGGTGTCTGAATTGCTTCGGAAGACAGATCGTTCTATCGTCGCGGAATCGCTATGTTGCCAGAAAGATGGGAAAAAGTTACAGCCAGCGACGGAAAATATTTCGATTGACGTAAATTTAACCATTTCTTTAAAATAAAATAAAGATAAAAAATTGACAAAATAAGGCTAGAATTAATTCAACCTTCTAATATTTACTGGGAACGTAAATTTCAGACGCCTTTTTGTGTTATGAAAGAATTTATTTCAAAAGGTTATGCGGCATCGAAACTGATAAAAGGGGAGCAAGTATCCTCTGATTTTCGAGATATCGCCTCAAGACGTTTTAAATCTTCATCGACTTCACATGCATATAATTTATAGTCAAAATTTATGATTTAGAATTAATTGAAACTTGGTCTTTTTCAATATTAAATATTTTTTGCAATGGTCATAATTACATAACATGAGCGGACAATTAATTTCTTGCGAAAGATAATTTTACTTTATTATTACGTTTATAATAACGAGACTGAACAATGACTAGAAATGAAACCTTCCGTTTATGCATTTGCATCATTAGAACTGTCAAATATTCTAAGTAATTATTTTCTAAGCGAATTGAGATTCAATTGCAACGTTATTAAAGTTAAAATTAATTATAAGAAAAGTGATATTTATAACGTCTCCCTTTTTGTTTCATATAGCTACGGTTTAGTTTTAGGTTTTTCTCATTTATTCTATTAATTTTTCTAATACATTATTCTAGAGTCCATTAAGTTTTATTCAGAAATATATTTATCTAAACCGTTAATCTCTCTCTCTCTCTCTCTTTCTGATTTATTCTTTTATTTTATTCTATTAATATCGATGCGTTATCGTATAATTGTTACAAGTGCATCATACACAAGTGAGTGTTTTCAGCTGCATGTGAATGCAGTGTGAGAAGAGGAAAGGAACAATTAGACGAATCACGCGCACGAATTGCCTAAACATCGATCCACATTCGAATGTCGAGCGAACGTCGTAAAGAAACTGAGACACGCAAGTGCATTCGCCGTCCAGCCGCATCCTTTTTTCATTCTTCTTTTAGCTCAATCGATTAGTTACCTGAATGCAATAAACGCATCTCCCAGCTCGCCGCCGACAATGTGCACTCCTCCCTCCGGAATACTCAAGCCCCGGAAGAACTGGCGTATGTCCAATGCGTTGGCGGACCATGCCAGGTTTTGCAGCCTGATTATGACGCTCATTTTCGCGCTTTATGCGATGTGTGTAATCCTGCAACCGAGCCGAGAAGCAACGAAATTAAACGACGAAGAATAAACATCGTCCATGTTGACTGTCGCGGTTCGCCGATGGCGAGGCTGTTAAGAATGTTGAAGATGTTCGACGGATGTTTTGGTGTTGCGTATGACTTCGTAGGAGGGAATAAAAATACATTCTCCAGGAATACATTCTCTTTATTAATCTTTACACGGATACATCGTTCTAAAATGTCCATCTGATTAACGCTTAGGATTTATTTTGTATCAACGGCGCGCCAGTTAGAGTGTCCGCTCCCCGTCGTTATTATTTCATATTATTCGTTACTTAATATTATAACTTATTATTTCATATAGTATCATTTACGCGTTCTTTTATTACGCGCGAGTTTATCGTCATTTAGTTGCACGATGGTAAAATGATTAAGTGTTGAAGTGAGAAAGAAGCCAATGGGATTTCATCATTTTATTGTGTGAATTATAAAATTATAAATATGTATTATAAATATGTATGTACATATATATTGGTACATATATATTATATGTACCAATGTATATAATTAATATTAATTGATATTTGCTGAAGAGAGGATCCAAAGTAGGCGACCGAAATGTTAAAAATTCAAGACAGCATAACTGTAATTGTTGATATTTTTTTTTCTATTAATTAAATTGCGTTTTGTACCGTGACCAACGTGTTCATATTTATTATATTTTTGTGGCTGCAGAGTTTTATATTTGTATATCCCTTCAGAGAAATATTGAAAGTCGGCAAGTTTGTGAACCTTGAAGAGAGAGAGAGAGAGAGAGAGAGAGAGAGAGAGAGAGAGAGAGAAAAAGAGAGAGAGAGAGAGAATTCACATCTCCCTCCCCTGGCCGTAACCGTCGGAAATAAACGCTCAGCCGCTGGAGCGCGGGTCGATTCTCTCTCATTTCCATATTTCCTAATCGCTACAAGAATGATCGTGTGAGAAATAGTCTGCGCTTTTCGGGCCGAGCGTGCGAAGACGGGTGTGCAGGTCTTTCACGTTCGCGCGCAACGCGCTCGTGTCGCAGTTGCGCAAACGCTCCTCGCGAGCGAGTGAACTTTCTCCCCACATCGATTCGAGTAAACATATCGCGCGAGGAAAACGGCGTGCGATGAGGAGCCACGATCGGACGACGTGTCCTCGCAATACGATCCTGGCCTCGCTAGCTTCCTCTGCTCGACGGTGACGTAAAAAAAAGCGGCTGGACACGCCGCGTGCATTTTATTATACAATAATTCAATTCGTATGCGTCCTAAACGGCGACCGCCCGGCCAGAAAAGTCACGCAAGGATAGACACATGATAGAAAAGCGGCTAAGTGGATTGATTAGCATAAAAGGCGCTCGAGCGCGCGCATTTCCATAAGGATATGCACACCTCGAAATGAGTGTTCACAAGCGATGCTTAGGGTCGAATAAAGCCGATTGAAACTACAAATCTCGAGTGGAGGGAAACGCGCCTTTTCGTGTTCCACTTCAACAGCACTCGCAGATCAATTTATCCTATTGCGTATGAAAGCACTCTAGACGTGTACAAAGGATAAAATTATAAAAATCAACGAAAGGATACGTTCGTCTTCGCAGACTCGTGCCTTCATCATCATGCAAAAATTCGTCCGTGACGAATTGAGAGATGAGTCTCTTCGCCACATTTCTTCGAGAAATTTACGAAAGGACCTACTGCCGTTCTCTCTCCCCGGCCTCGCGGATATTTGCAACGAGACGAACATCCTTGGCATTATTGAGCCGCTCGCGCTGCTGTGCGCGTCAAAGTTGTACAAACTGTTAGCTGCTTGTTGCAGCGCTATTAATCACTCGTGCGTTGCGCGTCTCTCCTCACGTTCATCGATTCGCAGCCTTATTGCACGGCAATTAATTTCATTCCCGGCACAGTCGATCGATCGTCTCGTCGAGAGTGCTCACCTTTGACATTTATGCGCGTCTCGCAGTTATTGGGTACACATTTCACCGTCGTTGTGTCGTTTTCAACTCCGACGTCAACTTCCCAACTCGCAAACGGCAACTGTCGAGAACACCCGCGGGCGCATTTCGCTGTCTGTTTACGTTCGAGAGAAAAATAAAAAATGCAGAGCGACCCGAAGTTCTACGTCGCTTTGCGCCGTGTGTATGTGTGTGTGTATTGTGCAACATATTACGCTCGTCAATTCTATTCCCTTTCCTTTTTTCGCACAGGAGGAGGGCAGGAAGTATCTCGGACAGTACGGTTTTATCAGGACTTAATTTGATTATTATTAATGTAATTACCAGAAAGAAAATTAATGTAATTACTAGACAGTAAATGTGATGTATTAGACAGAAAAATTAGCAAATTTAAATCGCTCAATTTTGCGTGCATATTTATTTAAGAGAGCTTCTCATTTTTATTTTATTCGAGATTATTATATTTAAAAAGCATATTATATATATTATTTTATTATATTATCATCTAAAATATATGATATGATAATGATGATATTTATGATTAGAACAAGTCGGCATTTATTATTAGTAAATTATCGACGGTTTAGTGTACTTTATACGTTTAACGTTTCACTTATCGTTTCTCTTCAGTTTAGTCATTTTATTTCGATCATTTTTTATTTTATTTACTTCAGTTTATTATTTGGATAAATGTATAGCATATAAAAGTTTTTTTTATTTACTAATTTGATTTTAAACACTTTTTAATCGCCAATGTTTCATTTAATCCTTTTTATTAAGGGAAGGATAATTTATCATATATATCACACATGAATTTTGCAGCAGTTATATCAGCATTTAATTTTTTTGTAATATTTATGTGACTTCTCTTGACGGTTCTTCGCAAGATTAATTTAAAAGCAACTCGATGAATACAAATCGAGCAGTCTCTACGATTTCACACATGGATAAATCGGCAACTTCTCACTGATTTCTGGCGTGATTACATCTATGTACCGAAATAAAACTCGTGGAGTGGCCGCAATCGCGTAGAAACGACTGGCGCGAGAGATCTGAATCTTTCTCTTAACAAATAAGGTCTCAAGTTTCAAAGACTCGATGATAATCCGCTGTAAGTAGCAAAACAAATTCGCCCCAGTTTCACCATCAAATAGATCCGAGCGGGGGCAGGACCCCGTACATGTTAGCGCTAGCGTTGGCATGTGAGAAACACGCGTTTTGTATCCTCGGCTACGGACATTCGTGAAAAGTGGGAAATGCTCCCACAGCGGCATGCGCACCTGCCGACTTTATTATTACAGCGAATTCCGAGGATTTGGCAGAGGAACGCTTCAAGACATACAAACGCCCACATACGTTGCGTCAACAAGCGAAACGGCGAGTTCACTTTATTCTTTCGTGTACGTAATAAAATGTAATCGTGCGCCATACAATTTCCCGACAGACTGAAACAGAAAGAAAGGACCGAAGAGCAGCGAGGACACATTTCCAGCGCGGAAAATCCGAGCGTCGGTCGCAGACGAAACCGCGCTTTCTTTCGCAGTTTTGAGGAGAAACACAGATATCGATCTTCAAATTTCCAGTAAGAAGAGTTTACAACAGGCATACATGGAAAGTCGGATATCGATCTGCCGGCAACAAGTAGCTCAATCTTCGAGTGTTTCGCTCTCGCGAAACCTCACCGTTTCGGCGAGGAAAAAATTACTCGTGCGCCCTGATGACGTAAACGTAAATCCTCGAACTGAAGATTCCGACTGCCAAGCGCCTCAGATCAGCGAGATCAAGTACGAGTGCATGTTTCATTCGCGCGTAATTGTAGATATCGCAGTCTTCAGGAGAAGAGTTTTTGAAGGACTTGCACAAATGACGAGAAGAGGCGACGTTCTCCTTTCCCTTCGGCGAGTACGAGGCGACGAATCGAGTTTATCGCGAAGTCAAACGGCTGGCGAGCGAGTCTCTTCTTCGCGAGGAAAGAAAGAACTCGCTCGCAATCTCGCTCACCAGCCGTTTTGCGCGCGTGTTATTCGGAAATCACTCGGTCGACCGTAATTGCGGCGTGCGTGACCGCTAATCTTCACGCCGCGAACGTGCCGATCGGCCGTGTAGGTGGACGACATTACATCATTATTTCGCTCTCCGCCGTTGCAAGACCATAATTGTCAAGCAGCGCGGCGACCCGCTCGCCAAAGGATTCTGTGTCGCGCGCGCGCGCGAGCGAGAGAGAAGAGGGGGAGAGGAGACGATAATTCTCCCTTCCTAAAACGAGCGACTTGACACACGAGAGCGAACGGCGGCGGCTGCTCGTGACAAATACAGACCGAGCGAACCATCTCCGGCGAGGGAGAGACGCAAGAGAGAAAGAGGGGAGGAGATTCGAAACGAGGTCTGTTTTTTTTCTTTCTTTCGAAGAATCTCTGAATCGGCGCACACTAGTGCGATAGGTCAGAACAAGAGACTTATCGCAGCAGTTTAGTAGTCCTCTGAAAAAGAGCAGACTTCATGGGGTGGGGGGCAGGGGGAAGGGGGGGGGCTTCGACGCACTCGGAGGATTTTCCACAGTCGCATGCATGCGGACGAAAACCCGGCGGCGTGCACGACGACGACGCGCCTCTCCTCTCGTTTCCTTTTTCCCAAGGCGCACATCCCAAGGCGTACGATCACGCGCGGAAAAGATCGCCCGTCGTCGATCCGCCACCGAACTCGACTCTGCTCTTTCCGCTGCGTGAGACACGTGGTCCGTTCCCGTCGACGACGACGACGACGACGACGACGACGACGATGTCGCTCAATCCATCTCTTCGGCCTTCCATCGTGCCCCGCGAACTGCTGGCGATCCTTTCTCCGTTGGCACTGAGGGAAGGGCTCGGCTTGATTACATGTTGTACTCGCTCAAGTAATCTCGTGGACCGTGCGGAAGAAAGAAGGCCTCTGCCGAATCTCTGCCGGGCTTCTTCCGCTATTGTCTTATCATCGACACCTTCGCACCTTCCTGGGACGGAGGGTTAATTGTAACCGCATTTCGTCGCCGAGGATCACTTCGTCTCTCGCAACTAGGACGTTTAGGAGCATATCCGGGAATATCCGAGAAATATGTGTACGTGTGAGGTGTATGTGTGTGTGTGAGGCAGCAATAACGATACATGTTGTCAGGTGTATAACGTCAAAAGCGGATCTTAATTAGAGGGTGTTAATTAAACAGAGCTCGGTTGGAACTTGAAGGCATCGTGTGCATTGTCACGCGACTCAACTTGCCCCTGATCCTTCGAAATCTATGCTTTTTCGCATCTCTTCGTAGATTTTGTTGCGCCTCAACCCTAACCGAATCAAACCTAATGAAATACGGAGGAATCTTAAGGTTTCCCTTGTACATATTGTCATATGTATCCCATCTCCCGCATTATTCATCTTCAGACTACCGCGCCGCATCCTCAAAACTCTATTCCTGAAATATTTTCACAGCACAGTCCCATGACTATTTTTGGGCATAAAATTTAAACTGCTGATGCAACCCTTTGAATGTTACCCTCCCATCAAAGCTAACGACTTGAGATAGACCACAAAGCTTCTTCAGTTCCAGACACACTCGCGACTTGCACAGATCGAAATCCCCTCTCGGTTCTTCCGCAAATATTTCCGCAGTACAACATATTTTCTGTAACGGCTTATTTTTACTTCAACCAACTTCTCTCATAAGTGCACCAGCTGCTCATCAGTAACCTCTACTTCCATTACGTTGCGAATCCCACGTAACGTAACAGCATTCGTAAATGTCGACGTTGCATCGCTGCACGTGGATAAACAGTGACACATCCATCGCTGATTCAAAAAAAGATACTTATAAGATGAACAATAAAAGTTGCAGCAATTGCTTATTAATTACAGTCGTAACCCGAAAACCACTTGACTACGCGTTTGGTTTGGACAGCAGAATGTTCTTTCGCACAAGCGAGCTAAAAATTTGTTTTATCGTCGCGTGACGTAACTCGATCACGAGGAGACTTCCTTCTCAGACGACCTCAACGAACACACATTGAGCGTGCGACCGCGTGGCAACAAGTGCATGCGATGTCGATTTAAAACTGCGCTCCGTATCGATCATTCGAGAGACGAAGGTACTCGACTCTCCTCCTTCTTCTCTTTCGCACACAGCAATTTTGTAACGTACTGCACAGCGGAAAGCGAATCCTTTCGCGAGGTGTTCGTGCCTTCGGGACAATTCGCATCGATATAAAGGAGTAAATTCGGCGGGCAGTCGGGGGAGGTCGACGTGTTTAGAGTTCGAGTCGCCGCAACTGAGAGCGACTCGAAGACCCAACTCGATCAGCACGAAGCACCAAACGGTAAACGCAGGCCGAACATTAGCGTTGCACATCAACCGACGCGACGTGTAACAACCGTGACAGTAGCAGCCGTTCTTTTTTTTTTGGAGGGGGGAAGGAGAGGCGATATGAACTTGCAGCTACGTCAACTTCCAACACTTCGGGACGACCAAGGGCATCGTACGCTCTCTCGTCTCTCGATAGCGATCGCTCCTCGTCAATCGATGGAGAGACATACCTCCCTAGACCTCCCCACACGTCGACTCTCCGAGATTGTTCAGATTTTTGCGGTGTCCCATTTTTTTCTCTCAACCACGCAGGCCAGACTCTCGATTCTCTGCTTCGACCGTGACGAGAGAAAAATCTCGAGGCGCACTCGGACTCGTACACTACATCCGCACAACTGAGAGGATCAAGATAAATAAACAAATAATAAAAAAAAAAGAAAGAAAAAAGAAAGTATTCGTGATTAACGAGAACTCACGTCCTCGACTCATATGCGCGCGCGTGCAAGGCAAGCACCGGGAAAATCGGTCTGTGTCGTCCACCTGAAATGCATCAATGCGCAATCCGATTCCAGAGAGTTCGCAACGATGGAAGCAAGTCGAATTGCAGCCACATCGACGTACTTTAATCATCCGTTGCTGCTTCCTCGCTGCGTTATCACGTATATCGCAAATTGGTCCACACCGAGGCCCGGTGAAAATAATAAAAAGAAAGAAAAAGGACACACAAAGCCACAAAGCCTGGGCGTCGAGGAACGCCGTCGAGGCTGAGTATCTCAGCCCGACGGAACGGAAAACAGAACGGTCACGTTGTCACGTGCGAGTCGCTCTTTCATACATGTTTAGCCTTCTTCAACATAATTTGACCGTCGGAGATAACGGTATAACGATGATAATTGTTCGGTCAGGTTGCCGACATTTTTTTAGCTCGGCGTTTTTTTCTTATCTCAGTGTACGCATTATCGTGCAGTGTACGCAGAGATCGCATTATTTTTGCAATGTTACGCAACATTACGGTGGTCCCATTTTACAACTTTCCCGGAGATAAGTACGCATAAAAACTGTCAATTAAAAAAATTATAAAAAATATCGCGGAAGTTTCGAGAGATGTAGAGTGTCAGACGCAATCGTAATATCATTCTTTGCGGTGAGATTTCGTTTTGTAGTTTAAACAAATGTCACTTGACGAACAGATCGATACTTTTTGCTTTTCATCATACCGCGCATGCACAATTTTCTGTTCCGGAACGTTCGTTCAAATTTTCGCGTTTTTACGTTTTGGCATGACACGAATAACGTAGAAGAGGTTTCAAGTATTATCGCGACATATTTTACATTGAGCTATATACAATCAAATATATATAATAAGGACGATATTCCCAGCTTTCGGGAATCATATAGAGAATGTTTAAAACTGCGTTATACATTATTTTAGTTATCCAGTTTTAAAATACGTCTCCTACTCTTTTTTAAATTATAACCAAATGTTTCGTTATTGGAAGATATTTTAATGTGTGATAAATTTAGAGAATTGCCTTTCCCTTAGCAAAAAGTTTATTGCGTTATTATTGCATTAAATATTGATTTAAAGTTCTGTTAAGGTTCTATAAAATGATTAGAGATGACAAGGACCCATATGTGTAAAAACAACTTTCTTATTTTTTCTTGAAATATTTAGAATATTATATTATATTTCTTTTCCTCGTGTACTGCGGTAATTGGATAATTGCTTCAATTGGATAATTTAAAAGAATAATTTTTTAATATAACATATATGTAACACATTTTTGTTTCACAAAGTGTGTGTAACAGGAAACAAGTATATATACTCCCATAATATATATATCTTGTTATAATGATATGTTACGTAAAAATGAGAATTTTGGATATTAAATCATTCGTCAGGACTCTAAATAAGGACAAGGATAAAATCAAAGCATAATCAAATAAAACAGCATACCTATACATATAAGAATATGATAAATATTACACAACTAAAATGATTAAAACAAAGTTTTTCCTAAAAAAAGATTATAAGTAAACTGTCATTGCATGTATAGGTAGTGGCGATCCAGATTAAAAAAACTTACCTTTTATTGATTGAAAAGATTATTTCATGAAGTTATTTATAAAGTTATTCTTAAAATTATTCAATTATATACATAGCACGTGAATAACGTCTTATAATAAATAATTAAACCTCTTGTAATTCTTTATGCAGACATAATTCACTAATAGTAGTATGATGGCAATTATTTGAGTAGAACTTATTGTGGATATATTACTATTTTCATTTCATTTTGAGATAAAAAATATAGCTCTAATAACCATTTACGGTTCTTATAGGAAGTAATCATGTTTATCTTTCTTTATACGAGGGATTTTTTCAGGTTTTATTGCTGGTACAAAATGATATTATGTAAATCCTGCTTATCTCGTTATTTTAAGTACGTTTTATAGTATAAATTAAATAGTTAAGGACACACTCCGTGCGATTTACAAGTCACGATGGATAGATGAAAATATTCATCGTGTAAATGCAAAACACGTACATTGCCTTTGTACGAATGTTTTACATATTTTCTTTATTGATTCTATAAATTCAGGATCATGATTTACTTACCATTGTATATTAGACTCCAAATATACAGTGATAACAAAATTATATAGGAAGTGTGGATATTTATAGAGATATGTAAGTAAATGAGATATTCACGGAGCACTGATAAAAAACAACAGACAGCTAAACGAGCCCATAGTAGAATCAGAGAACACTTCCCTCCTGAATTATGAACTAATTTTATTACATGATTTATGAAGAATTACCTTCAGACTTTAGAAACTTCGGAAACTTGAGAAACTTCTTTCTTCTTTGCTCTTTCTCTCTTTTTCTTTGTCTCAGCTAAAATGTACGACGAAAGCTAAGAGTTGATGAGAACAAAGACGACCAAGCAGCAAATCACTCATCAGTGTGGAACAATGAAATGAGGAAGTTGAAAGAAGTAGTTAACTGCACCATGTCATTGTACAAAATCCACCGCAGAGGCTGAATCTGTTCTTGTCACCTAACACACACTGAGCAGTCTAAAACCCTGTAACATAATTAGTTCCCCCTCACTGTACCTAATTTTATGATAATTTTATTACAAATTATATCTGTATTTAATTTTTTATCTGCATTATTATCTGCCAAATTATAAGCTTGTATTTACACACAGAGCCAAGAAGTTGATTACTGTTTTGAAAAATTCATAACATCTTTTGCATATATACATATATATGTATATATAATAATTGTATGTTTAAAATATTTTACAAATTATATTGAAATTTTAGAAAATTTTAAATAACCAGCTAATAGGCCATATATATGTGTATACGTGTCTGTATATATGCATGCATGCACAGTCATTATGATTTGCAAAATTATTTTTACTTTTGACATCACACGAATATATTTTTCTAGCTAAATATATTTTAGCAGAAAAATTTTGATTGAAAGAAATGTTTGCATAATGGTAAAGTGATTAAAGCTATATGTCTCAGTAAGAATCAATAAACTATAGATAAGCCTGTGTATATTCATGTGTATAACGTATATCACGATTTGTCTTGAAATGCAAATATTATGTAATGAGTAAAGAAAGTTAGACTCAATAAAGAAAATTTGGCAGAGAATGTTCCGAGTGCCGGTATGTCATATTTTCAGCAATCAGATAAAAATATTCATCAAATTAGATTTATTATATTGTAATAACGATTTTTTGGTAGTTCATCCGTTTGAAACTCTGGAATATTACGTATCTCGTGACAATACCTATCTGAGTCTTGCTACGCCATTCACATTTCCTACGCCATATTGTAAAAGTTTCATTGGCAAAGCGAACTTTTTCTCCAACAAGACTCGCAACAGCGAATTTCGTAAATCGACACGGGCAATAGTACGATTAAAAGACATTTCACAGAGAAAGCGTGAATTTGGAAAAAGAATTCATGTTAGAATGCGCACAAATGATAGAAAATGATATTTTGCATCATTTAATAGATCCGCCATTATGGGCGTAAACGAGATATTGTAGGACAAAATCTTAGCGTGAAATGCTAATTATGGTCGACTCACCGAAATTACTACGCGGAAGTGAAGTATTTCATGACGATGCTGACTACGAACAGTACAAACAATTTTTGACGCGACAAGTTATTGAATTGTGTCTCGATGCTCCTCGGATGCTCCCCGTAGTGTGAAGCTCGTTCGAGAATGCTGTCGTTGCTGTGTGTTCAGTCGAGTAGACCTCGTACACCGTCGGCTGTAAAACCATTAGATGCGACTTCGCATTCTTGCGCCCTCACGTGGCGGTTATTCGGTTTTTTGGGATGCGTTCCGTTTCACGCATATGCGCGCATTTATCTATAGTTTATGTCACGTATACTATAAAAAATGCGCGCATATGCGTTAAACGGAACGCACCCTTGGTCATTCTTTCGAGAGTGATATCTTTATTGGACGTCACGAGAAACTTATTGTTGATTATTCATATCAGATATTTTAATAACAGATGTATATTTAGGTCAATTCAATTTAATTCAATAAATGGCTCTGGGCAAAATAGGGTACTGCTCCAACGCCATTCTCACGGTGTAGATTGATTAAATTCTGTAAGGCTATTTTCCAGTAGTATGAAGGTAAAAGAAAAACAGGGACACGCGTAAGCAGTTCCCACGATCAAAAAATATGCGTAGTTACATGAACCACATCCAACCGCCACGGAGGCGAACAAAAGACTTTATGTATATTTAGGTAAATTTACAATTCCTTATTAATATTTCTAATGATAAATTTATTACGGCTGCGTTCCAAAACACCACTCGTGTGCCCTCTATGTGCGTTCCGAGTTACGCATATGCGCGCATTGATTTATAGTTGTAACGTATACTATAGAAAATATGCGCTTCATGCGTGACTCGAAACGCATCCTATCACACACCAGCCGTTCGAAAATGCTCGGAATGCTCCATAGACTTAAGCCAGCGGCACACGGTGCTTGTTTTCGTGCTGAATTGCTTGCTGGATGAAAATACTGCGTTCTGATTGGTATATTTCCATCCATCTTCGGAAATGTACCAATCAGAACGCAGTATTTTCATCCAGCAAGCAATTCAGCACGAAAACAAGCACCGTGGCCGCTGGCTTTATATCAGTGAGAAAAAGAAGAGGAGTCATGGGCCATTTTTAGCCTAGAGATTAAGCCAGCGACACACGGTGCTTGTTTCGTGCTGGATTGCTTGCTAGATGAAAATACTGCATTCTGATTGGTACATTTCTGAAGATGAATGAAAATGCACCAATCAGAATGTAATATTTTCATCCAGCAAGCAATCCAGTGGAGCAGTTCTTTAAAGGTCATTCTACAATACGTGTCGTAAGTTGTAAGTCGTAAGAATTGGCGAATCACAGTCGATTATTACAAAAATAATCGGCTATAATTGGTCAATTCTTACGGCTTACAACTTACGACACGTATTGTAGAATGACCTTAAGGGGATCCTGGAGTCGTCAACGAACTTGCAAAG